TCATTATTAAAAATAATTATAATCTTTTCTATATGTTCTGACTCTTTTCATTCAGACATTAATTTCACGTTCCAAACAACTTCTTTGATATTCTTTGATAAAATTGTAAAATTTGAGTCTTGTCACAAATAATCACTTGCAAAAATCTAAGTGCAAAGTCACAGCGTTAAACTGCTCAAATCATTCAAGATAATAATTTTATCGTTCTCTTTTGTTTATATGATTCCAAAGTAAATTTCCATCTATATAAATATATTCATCGTTTATATATCGATCGTTTATATATTTTAGCGCAGTAATTCTTGGAATTCGTATGTGCATAAATTGTGCTTTTCTTGGTGTTGGGCATAATTTCATGATCAACGATTCGGTTATTATTAATTGCAAACACGCGATTATCAATCGTGATATTCCAGCGATAAATCTTCCATTGAGATTTTACCTTTCGACAAACTCTCGCGCTTGAACACTTTATTATAAGTCAGTCTGATATTAATCCTACTAATTATTGCTATACGACAATTTTGGCACCATGTTCGTCACGCTTTCTGGATAAATAAGAAAAAAAGAAGATTTCCGGCTTTTTTCCGAGGAAAATTTTCCTCCGAAGAAGTTCTTTTGTTCGAGATAAACTAATGTCTATAAATGTAGCAAATTACAGTTAAATTCTCGTTGACATTTGCATCTTTCGAAAGATTCTTAGGATGACAGGTTTTTCGCATATTCGATTTCAAGCGGAAAAAAAAGAAAGAGCTCATTCTTGGACGACTCATCACATTCGTGGTTCAAGTTAAATCTGGCAAGATCGATCGACTTTTCAGTATAAAAAAAACTTACAAGACGAAATCAATTTTCATATTCATGACTGCCTGTAGTTCTCTTTTTTTTTATACTATAATTTCAGAGATAATATATCTTCAAGTTTTTGTATTTTACTGTGTAATAACTGTGTGTCGAGATAATTTGTAAATTATGTAGTATACAATAAATAGTTCTTGAAATTCTATCGATTATTACTAAAATTATTTAAAAAATTGATATTGTATAAGTTTATATAATTTAAATAAAAGTATATGACTTTTATACGCTTGAGAAAAAAGGGTTATTATCGTAAATCTAATAAATAATGTAAAACGTAAAAAAAAACAAAAAATGTTTTAAAATTATGTCGATTGGCAGTCAAAAATCAAGTGTTGATGAATTTTACCACTTAATGCAATTTCGCAATTTCGTATATACGTATCGCGGAGATTGTAAGAAATTTGTGTTAAAGCACGCGCGATTATATACGTATAATGCGTATATCGAGAGATGGAAGCAATATTACAGCATAAAACATTCATAAACGTTATGGATAAAATTCACACGATTCGTACAATCTGTTATGAGGAAGAAAGAAAAAATTAAATCTTACCCGTTCTTATTCACCAACTATACAAACACTGTACAATGATATCTCGGCATAGCATTCCGATATATAATTAGTACGCGTATAAATTTTCTTTGGAAATATATTAATAATTGACGCGATTCTCTCACGAATGTCACATCAACACGATTTTTGTATCGACGCGGTCGTCTTTCTCGACGAGCATTAACGTGGAAAATTCTTTGTTTTTTACGTTATTATACATATATGTTAATATATGAAATAGTCGATCGATTTCAGATTTTCAAAATGGTCTCTTTCTTTCTTTTTTAGATATTACGCGCAACATTTGCGGCACGATATCTCTCATTCATCGATCATCTTATAATATTACATAAATATCGTCGTATATAATATTTTATATTATTATAATAGTATAATATTGTAGTATGTTATGCTATTATAATATTAAAATATTATATTATCAAACGTTTTTTTTTTTTTTCGCTTTAAAAACGGAAACACATGCGTTCGAGTCGTGGATCGACGTACCGGACGGGCAACATATGGAATGTGTGCGTGTGTCGGGTATACACTATCAAATCCCATTAATCGGCAATAAAATCCTTATTTGTCCGTCATCGGACGACGATCATCGACTCGAAACGTTGAACGAAGACGTTAACGATCTCTGGACGATAATTCTGAGACACTTTCGGTATATTTTTACGATACACGTTATTTTATTCTCATCGAACTTCAGTAATTTATCGTTTCAGATATTATTTCGATGATTATCATAAGCGATACCGATGCGAGTGATATTTGTGGGCGCGAATACCGAAGTTTTGTCATCTCTGTTTCAGCAGGATCTACGTAGCTTGAGGCGTCGTCCTCGATTCTAACGGGATTAACGTCGAGGAAGGTCTAAGCTCGCAATTTATGATTCCGGGTCCGCCAGTTGGTTTGCAATAATTAACGTTAACTCTCTAGATTCCTCGAGCGGAAGTGCATCCTTCGTGAAACGACCAGCGTGTCGAGGTGATGCCCGAAGCATTGTCAGACCCGTTCCCCGTTTATTGTCCTACTCAGGAAACACACGTTTGCCACAGAGACTCGTAAACGGCTCCGTTCGATAAAAGATTGAATCGTGAGATCAATTATGTCACGTATGCAACGGCCACTTTCCTCGAATATGCGTACATATCGTCCGTGATGATGCGAAGTGAAAGAATATCTCTTTGGAATATATTCTCGGAAAATATTTTGACTCTCCAAGAATATTTCCCAAATATTTTCACCCTCGCGTGAAAATCTTCAAATCTATTCCCTAGAATATTTTGAGAATATTTCATCCTCGAAATATATCATCACTTTCGCATCACCAGTTGTTGTGTGTCTATATGTTACGCGCGCGTGTACGTGTGTGTGTGTATATTTTTTTTTTATTTATATATATTTTTGGTTGTAGGTATACGTCTATGTGGATACTTTCTGTCGTCTAATTTACACGTATTAATCCCTCGATACCATTCTTAATTTATCGTAATACCCATTAACAACGCGGTACATGTGTCGGGTTACGTGAACGATTCCTGTCACCGACACCATCGATGCCCCTCGATCCACATCGTTCGCCGTCCCTAATCAATGTATATACGTTTAAAGTCCGAGTGTGTGCCTCTCTTTTTCTTTCGCATCTCTCTCGTTTTTATCCTCACGGGTCTTGAATGCATCTCGTCGTTACGCCGACGCATCTCACCTCGTAGCTTCGGTCTCGAGCACTCTGACCATTTCTCGCTCTCGTTCTCTTTCTCTCTCTCTCTCTCTCTCTCTCTCTCTTTCAAACATTCTCTCTTTCGTTTTCAAACGCTCTCTTTTGTATCTTAAGTAACGTTAAAAATAAAGTCTGCTATATCGGCGAGGATGCTCGACCCTGAAAACAGGTTAATACGCGGCGGAACGTTTTTTTTTTTTTTTTTTAGGGGGAAACTGTGGACGACGTTACAATGCAATTCACAAACCCACCCCTTCTCTCTCTCTCTCTCTCTCGCTCTCTCACATAATATTCCATATTATATATGTATACATATATTTTCTGTGTTTCATCTTAATTGATTTCCTTTAACCGCTAAAACTTACTCGCTATACGCACGAATCGCTTCTTCGATTTACTTTTTTTTTTTTTTTTAATACGGATTTTAAATCTCTTTCTATCAGTTGCCTTTACGTCATCCGGCGATCGTCAATGCATAGTGCGTGACGCGCATCACGACAGTTTTATATAATAATAAAAAAATGGGGAAGAGGGGTCACATGGTAGAGAACGATGAGAAACAACGTAACGAGCGCGCTACGCGCGAGCGCTCGATCGCGATTGACGGTAATTATAGTGACGATAATATCATTATTACATTATATACAGAGTCGATAATTATCTCCCCGCCAATTATCACGCCGCCGTCCACGCGGAAGAGATCGAATGGATCGAAGGACAGAGCCTCAATCACTGGCGATTCTCAAAAAGACGACCAGATTGCGTCTCGTTTACGTTGGTTGAAATTATGCCATTGAATCGTGTTAAACAAGAAAACGCAGAATATATTAAAAACAATCTTATGTGATTATTTAATCTTGCGTGCCTTGGCTATTCTCTTTCAAATGTATTTATAATAGTAGAGTATGTTCTAAATTTGTTTCATATAGGAGAGAATTCTTGGCCAATTTAGAATATTTTCCCTTATTTTACATTAAGCTTTGAGAATGTAAATATGTGGATACCAAAATTTTATTTTTTATTTAATGTTAAATATACTTATTTTAAAAATTAGTTATAAAACTGAATGTTATATAAAATTGTCTATAATATATTAACTATACAATAAACGGAGAAATAAAAGCAAAACCAAAGAATAAGCTGCTAACAAAATTACACTGTAATAACTAACAAACAGTAAGTTGAACAGTAATTTCTGGAAGAAAACATTACGTATATTAATAACTGTTATATTAATATCTAAAATCACATAAACAGTTAATAACCAGAATTAAAAGATACAATTTTGACTGCACTTTCTTCTATATTTAAAATTAATTAAATATAAAAAGAATTGTGTGGAGTATACGTTTAAGACGAACAAATTTATACCACTTATTAATTAAATGTTTCAAAATTCAGATTCTCGATCATTTTGACAAATCTTTCGCGATCGACGCAACGATTGGATATTCATTAACGATTCGATATTCGCCATCAAATTATTCAGAATCAGCGATCTACTCGG